GGGGGGGGGGGGGTTGGTTGATATTCGTGCTTGTTGTCGAGCTGTTGGGGCTGTTTTTTTTGTTACTATGTTGATTTCGAGCTTGTTTAGCTCTATATTGTGGGGTTTTTGGTTGATATTTGTGCTCGTTGTGGAGCTGTTGGTGCTGTTTTTTTTGTAACTATGCTGATGTCGAGTTTGTTTAGTTCTATATTGTGGGGGTTTTTGGTTGATATTCTTGCTCATTATCGGGCTGTTGGGGGTATTTTTTTGTTACTATGCTGATTTCGCTTGTTTAGCTCTATATTGTGGGGGTTTTTGGTTGATCTTTGTGCTCGTTGCCGAGCTGTTTGGGCTATTTTTTTGTTACTATGTTGATTTCGAGCTTGTTTAGCTCTATATTGTGGGGTTTTTGGTTGATATTTGTGCTCCTTGTCGAACTGTTGGGGCTGTTTTTTTGTTACTATACTGATTTCGAGCGGTTTGATCTCTATATGCACATAATATTGTTTGGATTTGAGCTGTTGTTGGGTTCATACAGTTTCATGGCTGAATTCGACCTTGTTTAGCTATCTATTCTGAGGCATTTTTGTTACTATGCTGATTTCATTATGTTGGTGGTGTTTTTGGTTCTGTTTGGAGCTCATTTTGGGCTTTTGGCAATGATGATGGTCAACAGCTATGAAGATTGCAAACTAATTTACAATATTCATAATAAGATAAGGTGTTCTTTACTACATTATTAGAACACAATCTACATGAACTTGTACTTTTCTATGGTTGTTATAAGATTTGAGAATGTGAAACTATCCGTTAAACTAGCTGTTGTAAAGTAATGAATATGGTTGTTAACATTTTTCTATAAATTTGGCATATGTAACCAAACAAAAGGAAAGAACAATTTGTTATTCCTATAAAGTAATGGGGGATCCATTTTCTTGTTTTGAACCAAATAAGCAAAATAAAAGAAACAAGAAAATTAGTACTTTTTTAATTCTGAAAACTTTTCCCATAATTTTTTAGAGAAATACAAGGGAATTTATATTTTGGGTGTTTTACTTTGCCTATGATTTACAGAAATTGAACCAAACAGACCCTAAGTTTAGAAATTGATCCGTAAAAGTAAAGCCTTGGTGGGATCCAGTAACAACTAATCTATTTTTTGTTTGAAGAGGTCACGCCAAAGGCAACGGAGAAGGATATAGATGTGTTTCATAATGTTTGGGTTAGTTCATTGACTTTCTCATAAAGATAACAATGGGATTGAACGAAATAGAATATTATTTAACATTTCAGATTTTATGGGATGTTAGAGTAAAACCAAAAAGCACTTCAATATGTTCAACTTGCCTCTTCAAAGGGCCTACTTGGCGAACTAATTAAACCAGGCTTAAAGAAGCATTGCGAAAGGGAAAAGAAAGGTACTACTGAGACTAATTTTGTTTAAAAAGTAGCTAAACTAAACTCAACTCAAAACTAATTCAAACATAAACTTGTTTAATCTGATCTGGGCTGTAGTTGGTCCTAAACTAAATGAGGTTAGTTTTTGAGTTGCGAAATTGAGCCATAAGGTCCTGGTCTGCTTGAACTAGATTGAAAATAATCTACCATTTCAAAATTTATGAGATGTCAAATCAAAAGCAATATCTTGCACGTATTTATCTCTTAGGGTGTGTTTGGTTCGCTTAAAGGAGCCGTGAAAACCTGTTTCCTCCTTCTGACAACAGCACTATCTCGACAAAACCCATTCTAGGGTTTTCTTTACTCTGTTTTGGTTCGCTTCTTCTCCTCGTCCCTCCAGCCACGGAAATTCCCTCCACCTCAGCTCTTTGTCTTTCCCCCATTTCCTTCGAAAATGAGAGGAAATCGGTGCAAAATCGCCCAAATATGTACTATTATCAGATTTGCGGTTTATTTGGGTAAAACTTGTTGAGGGCTAGGGTTACCACCGATTTTCCTTGTTTTTTTCACTCTCCGTGCCACGATTCCTTTCCGATGCCTGCGGGAGTTCTAAAGTGTTGATTTCGTGCTTAATTTTTTATTTATCAAGCCTCAGGTCCTCAAATTCATATTTTTGCTGGATCTTGCTAAAAAGGCAACGCCTTTATTAGGAAAATTTCTTATTTTTGCTGATTTTTTTTGGATCTTGCTATAAAGGTGATCTAAGGTTTGATTTCTTCTCATTTTAGAAATATTATGATGAAATGGGTAGAGCTTCCAGCTTTGTTGGTTGCCAGGATAACGTTGTGAGGTGAAGCCTCGACAACCGTTGGGCGAGAGTCACCCTGACCCTTCATTGGTGTTGAAACCTTCTTTGAAGATGAGATCCTCCTGTACTTGCGGGGAGAGGAAGACCCTGATGAAGATGATGTTGATCAGACTTGAATCTTGATCAACCGCGACACGACAACCTCGATGTCGAGACTGTTGGCTCCGACTGTGGTCGACAACGTGTTTGTGTCAGGAATGAATTTCATTGTAGTTTCCATTTACAACTTTTATCGTTTACAATAGAAACAAAAGAGTAAGCCTTTTTATTAGACTTTTCTTTACAAAAAAAATAAAAAAGAGAATTCCCTAGAAACACATGCAGAAACTATTTATTAGTCGCTGCTTGTGTTGGATCTTTGCCTATGCTAGGGACGCTTTGATCTGTGGACGATCAATTCAACGATCAGGGTTGATCGTGAAGAAGACTTGATGTTCTTGTTTCGTTTTAGAAACAAGGACAGAAGTGGATATCTCAGCAATGTAAGATAAACACTCTTCCCGATATCAAATCAAGGTTTGAATATCGAGAGAATGCTGAAGGCCTTTAAGTTCTCTCAAAAGCGATGAAGAACTCTCTCTTTATGATCGAAGTTCACCAATATCTCAAGTCTCTCTGCTCTCCGATCTGATCTCTGCTCTCAAATCGTCAACACTTTGGTCCCAATCCCTTCGATCCCGTGCACAAGGATGCTAGGGGGTATTTATAGGCCTCAGAAGCCGTTATTGAAGATAAGAATTCAAAACAACCTTAACCGACAATCAATCTGACGTATTTTTAGTTTGTAACAGCCTCCACGCGTTCATGGACGTCCTCAAGCAGTTATGAAGCCACGTGGACCGCATGAAGTTCGAGAAAATAATCAAAAAATATGTGAAAGGGTTTCACTGCGTGCGAGACACATTGACCTGTCTCGAAACCCGAGACACCTTAAGGTGTCTCAGAATCCGAGACAGCTCAGACTGTCTCACTGAGTGTGAGACAGCTTGAGTCTTATCATTTCATCATTTCATGTGTTCTTTTGCTTCTTTTGGTCTTGGATGATCCTCTCTGGCTTAGATGATGACGTTCTTCGTTTTCTCTTCGTATTGAGCTGTGTTCGAGAACTTATAGGCAATTTTTAACGCCTACACCTGTACCTTCGTCTGCTCAACTGACTCCCTCCTTCACTCTAATGGCATCAAACGATAGTGCTCTTGATTCATCCACACCTCCTAGACATCCGCCTACTACATCCCCTTTGTAGCAAGATGCTCCTACTGATGTCCCCTCTACATCTGTGACAGCTTCTCCCGATGTGACTCCTCCACCTCGTCGCAATCCTTCACGAGATAGTCATCCCCCTGCTCGGTATGCTCAATATGTCACTAGCACATATTCTCCTAAGTTGGTCTCTTTTCTTGCTGCTATTCACTCTATACATGAACCTAACTCATATTCTGAGACAGTTAAGTATCCAGAATGACAACAAGCAATGACAGAAGAGTTGGAGGCTTTTCATCATACTAACACTTAGGACCTTGTTCCTCTACCTTCTGGTGTTAAACCGGTAAGCTACAAATGGATTTATAAGGTCAAGACTCGATCTGACGGTTCCATTGAGCAGTACAAAGCTCGCCTTGTAGCTCGGGGATTCTCACAAGAGTATGGTATTGACTATGAAGAGACTTTTGCTCCTATTACAAAAATGACATCCATTCGAACTCTCATTGTTGTTGCAACTGCAAAACATTGGTCTTTGTATCAAATGGATGTTAAAAATGCTTTCTTTAATGACGATCTATCTGAGACAGTATATATGCAACCACCTCCTAGCTTTCCTGCTCCTCCAGGACATGCTTGTTGCCTTTGTCATGCTATATATGGTATCAAACAGGCTCCTCGGGCTTGGTTTGAGCGTTTTCGGCAATCTCTTCTTTCTATTAGTTTTATTGAAAGCCTAGCTGACTATGCTCTATTTTATCAGTCCTCAGCCTCCGGTACAGTCATTCTATTACTTTATGTTGATGACATGATAATCACTAGGAGCGATTCCTCTACCATTACTTCCTTAAAGCAACATCTTCAGAGTCAATTTGAGATGAAGGATCTTGGATCCCTTCGTTACTTCTTGGGTATTGAGGTTGCTTCCTCCTCTTGTGGCTATATTCTCTCTCAGCAAAAGTATATTACAGACATTCTTGAGTGTGCTACTCTCAGTGATCCTTCCATTGCTACCACTCCTCTCTTCACACCGATGGAAATAAACTTGAAGCTTCGACATGATGATGGTCATCCCTTATCTCAGCCTACTCGATATCGGGAACTTGTCGGAGTATTGGTTTATCTTTCAGCAACATGTCCGGATATCGCTTATGCAGTACACATCTTGAGTCAGTTTGTTAGTAGTCCGACTTTCATTCACTATGCAGCTCTTATTTGGGTTCTTGGATATCTCCGTGGCATTATAACTAAATCATTATCCCCCCCAGACTCTTCTTTGTCTCTTCGTGCATATTCTGATGTTGGATGGGCTGATGATGTAGACACTCGACGTTTCACTACTGACTTTTGTATTTTTTGGGATCATCTCTCATCTCTTGGCGTAGTAAGCGTCAAGCCATTGTCTCTCGTTCTAGTATGGAGTCCGAGTACAGGGCGTTGGTAGACATCACAGTTGAGCTGAAATGGCTCTGCACTCTTATGCGAGATCTTGATGTCTTTATTACTTTCCCTATCACTTTATAGCGTGATAATAAGAGTGTCATCGCCATTTTCATAAATCCAGTATTTTATGAGCGTACCAAATACATTAAGGTGGATTGTCATGTGGTTCGACAGGAACATGTTGTTGGAAACATTACACTCTCATATGTTCCCTCTAAGGAATAAGTGGCAGATTTATTTACCAATGCTCAAACTATTTCTGCGTTTCGCTATTTTTTGTCCAAACTCTCGGTATTCGATCCACCGTGAGTTTGAAGGGGGGTGTTAGATAATATTATGAGCCACCCTACATGTATCATGAGCAACCCTATTGACAGCCACCCTCTATATGTATCATGAGCCACCCTATTGACAACCACCCTATATGTATGGATACCCGCCTTCTAGTGTGGGCTATTGATGGGTTGTCTAGTATGTGTGTATATAAGCCTGTAAATATGATCATCAATGTAAGTTCTCTTCAATACCAAATTAACAGTTCTTAATACTGTATACATCAATTTATGACTCATACCATCTTGTCCCTCATCTTAATGTTCTTGAGGCAACGAAATCCGTACTATGTTAACAAGTATCCTCTAGATAATCAAAATTAGTTCTACAAGTATATACACGGTTCATTAAAATTTATACCAAAAGAGCACGTGTCTCCGACAATTATTTCAATAATCACATATCTGATTTGACCGATGGATGAATATGCAAGTATTTGCAAAAAAGAGTCAAACGAGTAGCTGGCCTCAATGTTGCTGTTCTTGATGTACATTTCCAAAACCTTTTCCCCCTTAAATCAGTTTGCTAAGATGCTGAATATAGTTTGTATGCACAATTAAAAACTGATATGAGAACAATAGAGAAACAAAAACATATGACTACAATTTTCCTCGTCCATCAACCGTCAAGACTTTTTTATTTCATTAATGCCAATAATTACATATGAATACATGCACAAAGTGGATAAATTCACCCATGAATTTTATTATTACCAAGGTGAATAAAAGAATAAACAAATTTGACTTAAAAAATTGCAAATACGCAAAATATTTTTGACCTCCAGATATTAGGCCTCTCTCGGTGTCAGATTTCAGCGCTTCTGCTCAGAAGTCCTTCCGTCGAAGAACTCTCCAAGCATTCGATCTAGGTCTTCTGCAGTGTATCTTATG